TGAACAAATAATATTGATAAGCAACTAAGCTGTGAGCAAAAAAATTCTGGATTCATATCTTTTATTTGTTTACGTCCTGCCTTTATTATTTTTACAACTAAGTGAAGGCAACGAACATATGGAATACATCTTCCTCCTCCTGTTTTCCCTGCACCTTCCTCCTCCTTCTATTTTCCCCACAACAACAACCCTGTAAGGTGAGTTGGGCTGAGAAAGACTGGCCCAAGTTCACCCAGCTGGCTTTCATCACCAGACCAAATTGATTAACTTATTAAACTTATCAACTTGCAAGAAATTCAGTATGGAAAACCTAATTTAGTTTGCCACAACCCTATGCTACTTAGGTTGGATCTCTCTCTCTCTGCTTCAAATTCTTCTCAGTTCTTTCTTTTCTCTTTCTGATCCAATTTTGCTGGAGCCTGATTATAGGCATGAAGGAATCCATGCAATAACCAACATATTCAGACTTTCTGGAAGAGAACCCTATCTTGATTACAACCATTGAGCCAAATCATTGTGCTTCTGGTTTTCTTGCTTTCCTCCTAAACTAGCTTCCATTTTAGCTCAATTGCTAAACTAAATAAAACCTTGTTACTCTAGGTTGCACTGGTATCCAGTTTATTTGCTGGTATCCCATATCTGGAACATGTGAATGGTGATTTTGTTCATAGTTTTAGGTTTGCAATGAAGTGCCAACATTGCATTCCCAACAAAAGACAAAGCAATAATTCACCTATCATATCTATAATAAAGAATAGTAAAAGGAATCTGTGGCTACTGCTTAGACGTTAATAGGTAGCCATACAGTTGCGGTTAGACCAGCATTTCTAAACCTCAGTAATGTAAAGATGTGTAGACTTCAACTCCTAGAATTCTCCAGAAAGCTATTTTGCTTTCTCCTGTGTTGTTAACATCAAATTCTTCCAATTCTTTTCTTCCATTTATGAAGGAATAAAGAAAGCATGCAAAACAAAATTCACTCCTTATGTAGTATCTAAATTCACAGAGTCCAGTTTGTAGAAAACATTTTGTCTTTTAGGGTGAGGAGGACAGTAAGAAAATTGGACAATGGGAAGAATCTACATATCTAGAGCTCTGTGCCATGGTAGTTTGTCAAGAAACTCTCACTGATAGTGCCATTCCATTTTAGCACTCAAAAACCTTGGTAGCTTGTTGAGATTGTAGTTGAAGTTTTGCATTATTACTATAAGTATTATTATATAAGATTCAGTGTTGCACAATTTTTTTAAAAAATCAGCTGCTTTAAACTGATTGGAAACTGACACCATAAGTAATATTTTTAAAAACAGAGAAAGAAAAACATAGAATTATTGTCCTAGATAGGACAATAAATAAACAACCAACCAGACTGTTTGAAATCTTCTTCCTTACCTCTTTTTGAAAAAGAATCAATTCAAACAATGGCAAAGAAATATGCTAGCAATCGACTGCTGCAGGTGTAAAGTTATTTCCCTAAGCCTATACAATAATTATCTTGGATATTCCAGGAACATATTTGCTATATGACAGTGTTTCTCAGCCTTGAAAATTTTAACATGTGTGGACTTCAGTTCTCAGAATACAGAATGCTGGCTGGGTGATTCTGGGAGTTGAAGTCCACACATGTTAAAGTTGACAGCGTTGAGAAACACTACTATAGGGTGTTACAGATAAGGAACTGGTCAGATTGGCAAACCAATTGAGCATCACAGACATAGATTGATATATAGGGATTTAAGTCTTAATGCGTTACTGATTGGTGTTTTTGTTTGGGAGTGGAGTTGCTTTGTTTTCTTTTATGTATGCCAATTTATTTCTTTTTATCTTGTTAGCAATAGCTGCCTAGCAGGACTTTGGACATTCTAAAATGCTGGTTTTCCATATTATAGAAACTGAAGGGAGATTCAGAAATAGTTTGCACAGTTGATGCTCAAATAAATTAAAGGAAAGCAGTAACAACCGTTCCAGAAGTGCCTAATCTCCTGGCAATTTCAAATAATTTTTAGAGTATTGTTTGCTGTATACTCTGAGATAGCAGGCTAGCTTTCTTTAACCTGATTCATGACCCCACCAACATTATAGATAAGGAAAGCATTAAAAAAAATAAAAGTGGACGATTCTCAGTATCTGGACCTAGTGTTGAATCATCTCTAGGTCAAGATGCTAAACACCACCCACACAATTTTTATGCAACATCCTGCTTGTCTTGTTATGGACAGAATGTATAATACAGTATATAAAAGCTGAATGGATACAGTACTGTTCAGTGAACACATATCTTTATATGGCATACCCAGGTGCTTTTCATAACTAATCAGGTTTTCTTTGATTTCAGCATAACATGCTAAGGATGCTTTGTATGGAATATTGGCTTATTTATATATATTAAGATGCCTTTTCATTGAGTCTGATCATTCAGAGTTTGGAGAAGATCCAATCTTATGCTAAACAACACTGTTCAACTCATAGTAAACTATATGCGAAATTGCAATGGATTTTCTATGCTTTTATGAATATGACATTCATATGGCATCATTTGAAATTTATCATTTTAAGTATGCAGTATTTTGTGACTCCACCACAGGCTTTAAAGCATTTTCACATTACTTCTAAAGCTATAGTACTATCAGCTTTGAATTATCAAGTTATAATATTATAACATAACACAATATTATTTTTAAAAAATCCTTTCCATTCATTTCAATTTTGACAATAATTTGGGAAAATACTTTATCTGAGGGTGAAGGCTCATTCTCTGATCTTGTGCATTGGTTTCCAAATGTTTCATTACCAGGCTAGGTACAATAACATCTTCAGCGTAGTTTAGCGGGATGTCAATGTTCTTCTGCTTATAAGGGCTTCAGGTGTGGGTGTGTCGAGTGAGGGCCTTGTGATGGGTCTTGTGATGGGTCTTGTGATGGGTCAGGTGTGAATCTTCAGTGAGTCTTTTGATGGATCTTGTGATGGGGAGGTTATATCAGGTCACAAGACCCATCACACAAGACCCTCATGCAACACACCCACACCTAAAGCCCTTATAAACAGAAGAACACTGACACTGACATCCCCTAAATTCCGCTGAAGATGTTACCTAGCCTGGTAACTAAACATTTTGAAACCAACCCACAAGCTCGGAGAACGAGCCTTCACCCTCATACTACATCCAAGTTACAGATATTCACCACTATTGCAAAAATTATTTATTATGAAAAGCAAGATTGTTGATCAATCTTTTTACTGATCCTGGAAACAGTTAACCGCAGCTTCTGGGCAATGCTGTTAACAGTTGCATGCAGTCAAATAGTATTGTGAGGTATGGGTAGGGGGGAAAAAAACCACACAATTCAGTTGTACACATTATTGCAATCAATACACACATTTTTCTTAGTTGTATTTCCCTCTGATATCTCCCAAGTTTAATCCAGAAGGTTCAAATCTTCTGGAATAAACCTGATGGAAACAGGTTTATTGTTTTCCATAATATTTATATTTCCAATAATGCATAACAATGAGAAGTTGTTGTTTTTTCAATGACATAAGCCAGTGTTTTTCAAGCTTGGCAACTTTGTGTGGACTTCAAATCCCAGAATTCTCCAGCCAGCATAAAAAACACTAACATAAATGATTGAGAAAATTATGGGACATTTTGATGCTTTCTGATCACAGATCACTGTCAATGAAAATAACAGAAACATTTAATTGTAAATTCCACTTTGCTAAAGACAATGGTTTACAAAGGAAAATGACAAGAACTTGTTTGCTTTAAGGAGAATGTTGATAAATATTAACAACCTAATCATGAAAAATAAAAAGTTTGACAAGAGCTCAAAACTCTGACACAATATGAGGGACTAAATGTAGAAATGTGGAATAGAAACAAGAATACCTTCCAAAAGAAATATGAAATGACCATAAGTGTCAGATTAGGTTTTGGAAAATTATTTCCATCAAAGCTACACTTGAATGTTTTGATTACAAGCTAATTAATTATAAAATAAAAGAACTTCAAGAATTTCAACTGATACAACATTATAACATTTACATTTTATTTGATACCTGCAATATTAAAGAAAAAGAATGTTTCATTTAAATTTACATATTTTTATTATTTGGGAGATTTTCCCCCTAAATTTTGTAAACTACATGGAATACATTATCAAGCTATTAATTGACTTTCAATTGATTGATTATGTGCCTTCAAGTACCAAATATTTCAGTACCAAAGAACAAATTGTATGTTGATGGTTAAATATATTTTCTGAAGAAAAATTTCTGCAATGTGTGTGTAATGGGATACAATATAGAATAAACATTTCAAAATTTACTTTTTATAAATGAAACTTAGTTCTTAACATTGAAAGATTCCATCTGAAAAGCTAAAACCTTCCTAAAACTTGAAGATTGAAACCTAGATTTTGAAGTTTAAAATAATTTTAAAAATAAAAATATTATAAAGATGTCTGAGAAATAGTATTTGTGATAAGTGGATAAAAATTACTTTTGTAATAAGTTTTGTTCAGATCAGCTTAAACATTTAGGAATTACTTGATTACAAACTATAATTTTTATATTTTTGTCTGTATGATTTCTACCGGGCATTTTGTCCTTTACCTTCACATGTTTTTATAAAATGTTTTGATTTAATTTACTACCTATAATTAATGTAAAACCATGAGTTTACTTTGAAATAACTATAACTCTCCATTTCAAGACAGTGGGTATAGGCCAGGGGTAGGCAACCTTGACTCTTTTATGACTCGTGGACTTCAACTCACAGAATTCCTGAGCCAGCATAGCTGGCTCAGGAATTCTGTGAGTTGAAGTCCACGAGTCATAAAAGAGCCAAGGTTACCTACCCCTGGTATAGGCTTACCATCGGAAACTTAGTAATGAAAGCTCGATTTAAATTTGAAACAGCGTTTTGTTAATGGGAATGCCTTGCTATTTTTGGTGCTCTATTTTATTAAACTGTTGCTTCATTCTTATTTATCCTGTCATAGGTATGACTTTTGCTCCAGTTCAGAAAATCCGCTAGTTTTGACATCTGAAAGCACTACAGGAAACAGAATCCAAAGCATTACACAAAGAACAGCTTTAATAGAGGGGAAGAACAAGGTATGGCACTTTGGAGGGGGAAATTAAACTTTGGGCATCTTTTTTATGAGTTCCTGCTAAGGTTGAATGGTTGTTCATTAGACTATAATGGTGAAAGCCACTGCCAAATTCTAACCTTACTATAATGACAATATCGTTACTTTATGAAGTAAATCTGACTGATGCAATAGCATCCAGTTCAGTACAGAACATGAATCACACTTGTTCAAAATCAGGCCCTCAGTATCTCTGTGTGTATTGTGATAACAGTACATAACTGATGCAACATCCTTTGTTGGGTAAACAGGTAGTCCTTGAGTTATGACTGGTTGCTTACTTTAAAGTTACGACAGCCTGCCCCCCTCCAAGGCACTTATAACCTGATTCTAAAGTTCTGATAGATTTCCCTCCCCACTGTGATCCTATTTCAGGTGCTCTGCAACCAACCCCACTTATAGTTGTTTGCAGCATCTTGTGATCGCATGACCACAATCTACAAGGTTTTCTGATAACCGGCTCTACAACCATCAGGACTTTTGATTGTAATGGGCAGTCTCCATTCCAGTTGTAAATTGAGGATTACATGTATGGCAATAAACCTACTCCAGTCACAACTAAACTTTTGCTTGTATTACATGACTGTTCACAATGAAGAGGAGAGCTTTGGGAATGTTTAAATTCTCATTTTGATATACTTTTAAGAATAAGCCAGACAAAATGTTATGTAAATAGAATAAATGATCAAAAATCCATTTACCACTGTAATCTTTTCTAATAAATGTAAATTCCAAGCCACAACCTCTGAAGCCAATGTATAATTCCCTTGTTTACTGAATAAAGTATTAAGGAATATGATATTATTTTAGTGGCCTTCACCCAACGTCTGGTTCTGGTAGCTAATGAAAATGTTTGCAAGACATTTAACAAAAGAAAAAGTGTGGAAAATGATGTATATAAAATATGAAATCTTTTCCAGGGTGAAGCAATTGTGAAAAAATATATATTTCATGATTTTAGACAAAAGTGCAGTCAGGATTAAAAGCAAATAGCTGAGAAATGAGTGTGTATTTGTGACTTGCTGGATGAATGGAAGCTGGGAAGCTGGAAGAAAGACAGACAGATATTTTGCCCTTGTAGAGCTTGTACGGAGAACAATATAAATCAACATGAGTTCTTCTTCTCTGTCCATTTTAAATGAGTTTATACAAGCAACCAGGCAAGTTAATTAGGAAAAAGTGATGCTCTTAATGATAGTGGTTTCCTAGATAACTAGGGACTGAATTTCAAGATTTGAGAGAGATGTCTGATCTGGAGAGACTGAACTTCCCTTTAAGAATCGCTTTCACAGCATGGGAATCCTTTTTGATGGGGCATTGATGTTGTACACTGATGACAAGAAAATGATAATGTATTGCCCTCTCCTCTGGACAGAAGTCTGACATTGGTGAAGCATAATTCTCAGTGCTGGATTACTGAAATGTACTGTTTGTGGGGGAGATCTTGAAGATGGTTTGGAAAGTACAAAGAACTGAAAATGCAGCAGTACTGAGATAGTGAATAGTGTTTCTAAGAAGTGACATATTGAACAGCTCCTTTGGTTACTAACTGCTTTCTGGACCCAGCTCAAGATATCCACCATGATACAAAATCTTACCTGTCTTGACCTAGAGTATTTGTAGGACTGCCTACCGCCATATACTCCTCTTTCCTAAACAAAGTTCGAGTCGGTAAATCACAGATCTCCTGACACTGGACACTTAGTTTAATTTGTGAGCCAGAAAAAGATGAAAAGAAAATAGGTCAACCTGACTAGAAACTTTACTGTAGATCAAGAAGAAGCCATACAAAAACAGTTGATTGCTGACTAACAGTGAAAAGAAATACTGTAAATGGCTCAACCCTTCTGCTCTTCAGAAAGTCATTGAACATTTGGTTATTTGGTTATTTCACCAAGCCTCAGGCTATTTTTGGCTATCCCTTTGGATAAATAACCACGCTCATGCACATAATTAATAATACTGTTCAGGATTTTAATTTTGGACTACTAGGGGTTAGATATTAGAAAAGTTAGAAAAGTTTGTTCAAAGCTTAAAATAGAGGCAAGACTAATTTAAACATATTTCTGTGACTCTTAGTCCCTGTCTGAAGGTTGTTTATGTGGGATATAAAATATATAAAATGTATCTCCTTCCTATCACTACTGATTAGATAGCAGGGTTACAGGCTGATCTGTAAAGACTATTTCAATCCTTGCATATTAAAACATCATATTTAATGTGAGTTACAACAAGATATGTTATAAAAATGACATTAATCTTAGGAAGAAATATCTATGATACCTCATTCAATTCAATTCAAAAAGAAACCAGCATGGCTGCACAAAGATGACAAACTGAAAGACCAAAAGGACAAATACAAAAAATGGAAAGAGGGGCACATAACAAAGGCCAATTATCAGCAGACAGGCAGAACATGCAAAGATGAAGTCAGGAAAGCAAAGGCTCAGAACGAACAAAAACTTGCAACAGAAATCGAGGATAGTAAAAAAAAAGTTTCTTCCAACACATTAATAAGAAGAAAAAAGTCAAGGAAACTATAGGTCCACTAAAGAGAGAAGATGGCAAGGAAATAACTCATACTTTGCATCAGTCTTCACACAAAAAGGAACTATAGCCCAACATACCAAAAAATCACTGCAAAAGACAAACTAGAAACAAAAATTAAAATAAGCAAGAAAATGGTAAGAGAACATCTATCTGACCTTGACGAGTATAAATCACCGGGACCTGACAGATTACATCCCAGAGTTCTGAAGGAGCTGGCAGATGTTATCTCAGAACCATTACATCATATCTTTCATAAATCCTGGAGCACCAGGGAAGTACCTGAGGATTGGAAAAGGGCTGATGTGGTTCCCATCTTCAAGAAAGGGGGAAAAAACGGAACTAGAAAACTACAGATCAATCAGTTTAACATCAATACTTGGGAAGATACTAGAAAAGATAATAAAAAAACAGATCTGTGAACAACCAGAAGCAAACAAATTTGTAACTAGTAGCCAGCACGGGTTCATTAAAAACAGATCATGCCAAACCAATCTTATTTCATTCTTCGATAAAGTGACTAAACTAGTAGACCAGCGAAATGCTGTGGATGTAGTATACTTAGATTTCAGTAAGGCATTTGATAAAGTAGACCACAACGTACTCCTTGGTAAGCTAGAAAAAGGTGGAATAGACAACATCACCACCAGATGGATCTGTAGCTGGCTGGCAAACGAAACTCAACGAGTAGTCCTCAATGGCACCACATCCACATGGAGAGAAGTAAGCAGTGGGGTACCGCAAGGTTCCGTTTTAGGCCCAGTACTCTTCAATATCTTCATAAATGACTTAGATGAGGGAATTAAAGGGGAACTCATCAAATTTGCAGATGACATCAAACTGACAGGAGTAGCCAACACCCCAGAAGACAAATTCAGGATCTAAAAAGATCTTGATAAACATGAACATTGGGCCCTATCCAACAAAATGAGTTTCAATGTGGAGAAAAACAAAGTTTTACATTTAGGCAGGAAAAATTGAAAGTACAGATTGGGCGAGACCTTGCTTAAAAATAGTAACTGTGAGAGGAAGCAACCTACTGTATAATTAAGGAGAAACTTCCTGATAGTGAGGACAATTAACCAGTGGAACACCTTGCTTCCAGAAATTGTGGGTGCTCCATCACTAGAGGTTTTTAAGAAGAGAGTAGACAGTCACTTGTCTGAGATGGTATAGGTTCTCCGGCTTGAGCAGGGGGCTGGACTAGAAGATTTCCAAGGTCCCTTCCAGATTCTATTCTATTCTATTCTATTCTATTCTATTCTATTCTATTCTATTCTATTCTATTCTATTCTATTCTATTCTATTCTATTCATGTGTTTGTTTCTTTATTATAAAAATCTTCCTATATTGGTATTACACTTGTGTAGGCAAGAATCAGTGTTATTTATATACCATAAGAGACGTGTGTGTTTCTTGAATGGCTGTGAACGCTTTGTTTTCTTGGGTCAAAGAATACTATGCATATGAATACTATACAATTGAAACCTGTCTTTGTTTAATTATCAGCTTTTCCTTATAAAAAAGCTGTTATTACAAAAATCAGAGGAAAGAGAGTGGTTATATAGAGATTACCCAAACACCAGTTGGAAAATATTGGTGACTAATGAAATATTTTTTTAGGATGTATTGTAAAATGTCAACAGGCTGCTGTTGATGATGGTAGGGAAGAAGGCTAAAACATCAGACAAAAGTGTGGTTTGTTTATGAATGTGATGTTTGGGTAAAACAATGACAGCTTCCATTGTTGGCTGTTTCCCTGTTATTAATCACAGCAAAGTTAAAATTTGCTTTGTAAGCAGATCTTCAGAGCAAAAGTGTGACAACTCATTAAGGGAATATCTAGATCTTCAGTATGAAGTGTATTTTGTGCACTTTAGTGCATTTTAGTCTTTGCAAATTATCAAAATCATACAATGATTTATTTTCCAAGAACTGTTTACCCTCAGTGGCTTCATTTTTTAGACATGTGTTTCTTCTCCAGAATTTTCTTTATCTCTGAACATTCACTAATTGTAAGCATTGGACATAATTTTCAACAATTAAATGGCTATGTGTGCCAAAAATAGATTCTATTTTGCTTATAAAATAATCTGAATGCCAAACTTCTTATTGTTATTTTTTAACTTGCCACAGGCAAAGTTATTATTAATTGCCTTGCAACTGTATTTAGTATTTAATTTGTAAGTAAGAAAGGCAAGAATCTCTTCTTTATCTTAGCTGCTTCTTCATTCTCCAAATGGAAGCCAGATTTTCCTGGAAATTTCCTGGCCAATTTTTCTCTCTGACTCAGGGCCTTCATTGTACCATACCTCATTTGCTGCAGCCTCTTAAGCATGAGATAAAACAAACATCCTAATTTTGTATATTAAAATGCAATTACTATGGTAAAATAAAAGTCTCTTGGGAAAACTACTTTCCTCTTAATTGTCCAATTACCACCATAGGCTTTTTCTGCAATGAAATTTGCATTTGATTGAATCAGTGTTGTAATTGAACCAATTGCTGAAATTGTTTACACTCTTCTGAAGAGGGGAAAAATCATGTTTTATATATCTTATTTTTTTGTTTACTTTTTATCATTGTGCACTATTTCATTACTTTTATCTTTGTACACTATTTGTAAGCTTTAATAAAATTATTTTAAAAAATTGAATTACGTTAGAGATATTGTTTAGCTGGATCTGTGAAAAACAGTTCAAATGTATAAGTATAAAATTATTTTTCTTTCACAGACTGCTAGCATCTTGGTTGTGGCTGAATCCAGAACATCTGGAATCTACAGCTGCATAGCATCCAATAAAGTGGGAAAGGACAAAAGAGACATCAGTTATTTTGTAACAGGTGAAGTACATTTCATGCTCCAATAATTCATATGACATTTAGTTATATTGGGTTTTTTTTGCCATTTTGTGATTAATGAATAGCTATGACAGATGTGACAACTAGATTTAATATTATTTAAGTGCTAATGTTTTGGCTTGTAAATATAATCAACAGCTAATATAATCAGGCATCCCTCTTAAATGCAATTACCGAAGAAGTTGCTTTGAACAGAGGAAAAGTAAGCCATGGGACCCTGTGGTCCTGCCAAGAAAGGAAAGCTTTTTAAATCAGTTTCAGACTCAAGCAGGTCTTGCTATGGGCTTAAAAAAAAGTAGGGTATGAGAAAAGCATCTGTGTGAAATTGTTCAAGCTTAAGCTAGTGTAATTAGCTAGACTTTTCTCCTCCCAATCAGCTGAAGAAAAAAAAACAACTAAATGTTCTGATTTACTAGGGAACAAGAAGAACAACAACAAAAAATATCTTTAAACTAATGCCAATTCAAAATGCTGATGGCTGTGAACAAAAGGCCAGGATGCTAAAAAGGATTTCCTTTCAGTGTATTCAAAATAGATACTTTGGGGCTAGACTGATTGCTAGAGGTCTGTTAGCTTTTCAACAACTTTTAAGTTTGTTTTTATTTTAAGTCTGGCAAAACCAGAGAGAATGCTAAGGTGGGGACAGGAACATAAGGGGGGGGAGCGGTTAAAAAAGCCATTCTCTTTTGAGACTGCTACTCTGTGCTGTCAATTAATTAGATTGAAATCTAGTTGAACTTGGCCTTTCCCAATTTTCCACCACATTTGTGAGGAGAAATGCTGGGCAAATATTTTCTATCTATATTCTGTATTTTCTATTGTCCCTTAAATTTTTAAAAGATGGAGTTCTTCTTGGTGATAGCAGTTGTTTTGCTACAATAAAACACAGAGGGGCCCTTCGGATTTAATGGAAAGCAAAAATTCAAGATTTCCATTTGCTGGAGAAATATTATGCAATGTATGAAAGACAAGATATTCAGCCAATCCTTTGGCCACTTTGTAATTAAATAGAGGCAAAGACACTATGTGCTATTCATAAGACGTTCTCCAAATTCCCTTCTTTTTTCAGGGCATATTGAAAGCAAATCCTCTTTCAGCCAACTGAACAAGAAAGTATAGTTGTAGTAAAAAATGTGGAGGTTTTTTTTTTTTGCTAGCTATTAGTCAAAATGCAGGGTATCTCACCAAGATGATATGCTCCAACTGATGAGGGTTGATTATAGATCAGTGTGGATCCCTGAATTATTTTAACTAGTTTGTTTATGAATTTGATGTAGAAAAATCTTTATTAATTCCATTAATTATCTCCTCTAGAAAGAAACAGAACTACTCAAAGGAGCAGACAAAATAGAAAAAGACATCAATTGACCACAACTTAGTGCTGTTTTAATATTTTTTCTGTGATTAGGGGTTTCCCCCCCCCTGTTGTCTACTCAAATTAGCCTTCATGAATCTGAAGCTTTTGTTTTAAGTAGATTTCACTTTAGGGACTTCATAATAATCAAAGTTACCATGGCTTTCTTAGCTATCTCTGAATGTTGAATGGTTCATTCTCTGTTTTCCACAGACTCCACCCTTTCACTCTGATCCTTCCCCTATTTGTTGGGCTGTTTTGCTGGCACGCAGCAGGACCCTGGGTGGGTTTGCAATTACTGAGGGTGAGACAGGAACAGTGTAGCCTTATCTCCCGGCTGACCAGTGTCACTAAAGGCATTTTATTTTGAGATTCCTGATGGTGCTTGGCAAAGATAAACAAAATCTTCCATCAGGAAACCTGGGAGCGATTTCCACAGGAAGTTTCAAATCACTAAAGTAAATATAACTCTTTTACATTATTCCAGACACTCACTATTCAACTAGTCTCAGATTTTAACACTGTGAGGTGCTAAAAAAAAAGTATCTTTTTAGTAAACGCATATTAAAAGGTATCTCTTTTTTTCTCCTTTCTTTCTAATAAAATTAAATTGTTTATTATGCCTATTTCGTATTCACCATTTTAAATGATGTAATATATCATTTCAAAAATTACATTATCAAATGCATAATGTGGAAAGGTGGATTAGAAGTGACATTTCTTTAGGAAAAGCAAACTGACTCTCCCACAATGTTTTGATAGTACTGTTCTTAATCCCCTATCAATGGTCACCACGGATGAGACTGGTAGTTTCCAAAACCAGGTAACTTCCCTACTGACATGTTAAAGCATTTCGGAAATGTTTGAGCATCGTAAACCTCTCCCCAGAAAAATACGTTACCTGGCCCTCCATTAAATCATAAGAATTGATTAAATTATAATTGTAGAAATCAAATAGCATCCCCAGAAGTATTATTAAGGATTACTTTCGATACAGAAAAGTAATTCTTTTACTTTTGTATGTTCCCATAATGGAATACTTCTGAACATGGTTTTTGACAGTGTAATTTCACATTTTTGTAAAATTTTACAAAATTTGCAAGTAGAAACTTTAGCTTTCCTCCACAAGTACACATTGCAATTCAGGTTCCAAGAAACTTTTCTGTGATCAGAAAAAGATTTTGATTTTTGATATTTTGTATATAATAGAAAAGAATGACTAGTGGCCATGCAAAGCATTAACTGGTCTCCTTCAAAACCAGGGTATTCAGACTTTGCCTTAAGCAAGGGCAGATACCTAGTGATAAAAATAGTGATAAGAAAAGTGGAAAGCCCATATGCTTTGTCAGAAACAAAATAAGCATATATTTTAAGCCCTTTACATATTGAGTCTTTAATCATAATGAATACTCACCAAATATCACTCTGTGTTTCATCCAGTTTATTTCTGTGAACATATTCAATGCATCATAAAAAAAATTCCCATTATGTCTTCCATTTACTCAATAATCACACCCACCACCAATTTAATTTCAGCTCCAGGAAGGATACTCGGACTATGTCCTAGAAATTGTATCTTTTTTCAGATTTCCTATGAACTAAAAGAGTGCTTTGGTTTTTGACAGATATACCAAATGGATTCTCTATTAACTTGAAGAAAGCACCTGTTGAAGGACAAACGCTAGTGTTGTCATGTCTAGCCAACAAATACCTATACAAAGACCTCACCTGGCTTTTACCAAGGACAGCTAACAACCAAACAAGAATTAAAAAAGCCATTGTGAAGGAATATTCCGTGGAGCTCCCTCTCATCATCAAGAACATTTCGCTTGAACATTCAGGCACCTACATCTGCCGAGCAAGAAACCTATACACTGACAAAGATGTGCTTCAAGAGAAAAACATTACCATCAGAGGTGAGCGCTGTAACAAAAAGGCTGTTTTCTCACGGATCCGCAAATTTAAGAGCGCAAGGAATGATTGTACAACACAACACAATGTAAGCCAATAAAGGACTAACTAAAAAGTGACACTTCACTGATATAATCTTGATTGACCACTACTGTACACTTCCAAATATGGAGGTTTGGACATAGGAGGAGTAACAATGCCAAAAAAAGAAAGAAAAGAAAAAGGCCTCCACCCCAAAGTAAACAAAAAAACTGTCCCTAAACCTGGGCTTCCAATTTGGCTCAGAAAGTCCTATTCTACTTTGACAAAGATGTGGAAGTTGGAATTTGGGAGAGTTCCCCACCCCCTGCATTGCATTTTGTGTGTTATGTTGTATTGTTCTTTGCAGTCTCCCACCAAGTGCTAATGAAAAACTTTGGAACCAGCCTGTCTTCGGCTTTGATATTCAACCTCCTCCCAAGTGTCAAAGCTGCATAAACTGAAAACTTTTTTAAAAAAAAAATAGAAAGACTGCTGCCTTTGGTCAACATTGGACGCTTTATAAGTTAACTTTGGTGCAGGATAAGCACGGCTCAGTTTGAGAGATTGACTGGACTATGGTATTATTTACTTTAATCTGCTCTTTGTGGATTTATAAATATTGCCTGCTGAGCAAGTTCTTATGCTTATTTATTTGAATTCATTTTTCTACCTTAAATACACTCATCTTTTTTTTAAAATAATTTTTTTCTCAGGGAAAGCTCTGAGGAGGATCTAAAATGAAAAATAACATGTTGAAATTAGGCATCGTTTGCATCAATTAAACTATTTAAATCCATCAAAATTGGACCCATTTTCTTAGAGTAAATAGATTGTGGGAGATTTCCATTGGGTCTCCCTTTGCTTTCCTTTCAAATAAATCACAATACTATGTTAAACATGTGTTGACATGAATGGGAAAAGTCTTCATTGACATTATAATGAAGAAATATGTAACTGTTAAAACTAACTTAATAAAGAGAACTACCACATTTACCCTTACTAATAAGGTTTCCATCATCACAGCAAATATTTAATGTATTTAAAGTTAAGGCTACTAGTATATGTATGTATCTGTGTATGTACAGTATGTATGTGTATGAAACACACACACGTACATATTGACACAGACACACACACATCATTTCTTTTTCATTTTCAAATGGTAATAAGATTTCTAAAATGACTAAACTACTGATAGAGAATTAAAAACAATCTATCGTTACTTTTAAATGTTTCTTGTCAGTCTCTTTTGTGATTTTATTTCAAGATTTCCTTTGTAATATAAAATCTATATAAGAAAGAGTCTACTATTTTGAATAGATCTGATAACTTTATTTTTTTACAATGTGTACCTATTATGTTTTGGATGGGTGTTCATTTATGATTAATTATTATATAGAAATTTTAGCCAAACATGTGGGAATGACAATAGCAAGAGCAAAAATGGAAACAAACCTGCCTTTGCAATGAAAATGGAGGGGGGGGGTTGTCAACATGATGGTTTCTTATGCCTGAGAACTCACCCACCCATTTCCTTCTTTAAGGTAGCAGGACCGTGTCTCACAGCCAAGCTGGCCGTTCACGTGGGAATTGCTTTTGTCAAATGGTTGGGGTAAACAATAGCATTTCCCCATCATACCAGTTTTGTAAAGTCCAAAACGGGATGAAAACAATTAGCTACCTGGAAGTTGTCAGAGTGAAGGAAAGAATAATGGTTCCTCTTTTGAAATTTTGCCTATATCCTACCTTTTATAAAGCCATTTTTTTTCAGTATTATCCAGAAACTATTTATGTTCCTTGTAAAAGAAGAATTGGCATCTATTTTTAATATGATGAAAGCCAATCTTATTTCTGGTAACTGCATGACAGCTTATTTTAGTGCATTGTAGAGGAGGAAAAAAGAAAAGAAAGAAAGAGCAGACCTAACAGGATTGTGAATTTTATAGAAGGGGGTCCCCAAAGACAAATTTGCAGAAACCTGAAAATTAAAGTTTAGGGGATTGCATAAAGAACATATTTAGCTCTAGCAGAGCTAAAGAACAGAGTAGAGAATAAGTGCAGAGAGTAAGATTCAATCCACCAAAAAACTGATTTTAGACCAGTCGAAAGATGAATTGAAAAACAGGCACATAAGCTTATTTTATAAAGTGCTATTAAGATTAGAGCTTAATACTTAATCTGACTTAAGCTATGAATTAAAAAATGCTCCATAGAACATCATAGACATAGGAAGGGATGCTGTTTCTGTTTTTTGGAGCTGGGAAATTTATAAAAATAGCTATGAATTACAATGGTAGCTACATATTTTTTCCTGCATTGTTGCTTATGTTGAAATTTATAATACAGTACAATCTCTGTATTCCACAGTGATGCCACCGAAGGCAAAGAGTTTAGACAAGCCTCTTTTAAAGTCCTCCCACTCCCCATGACCAGTACTAAATCATGCACATGTACTGGAACATACAAATTTTGTCTTCTCTGAATGATTTAGCATTGCATACATGATTGGACAAACTCTGCATGTTAAACTTCAAATGTGTTTTTTACTTATTTAAAATGGAGCTGATCATATGTCACTTCATAATGCAATATTAAAAAATAATTTTAAAAAATACAAAAAAGATGGGAGGGCAGAAGTTTTTAACATAAAATAGCATTTTATTGGTTGACCATGTTTACGGGAAGAGAATTTTTTTTGTGTGTCAGGGTTAATTATTTTTCTCTGTCTGGCTACTGAAGTCATGGGATCAACTGTACTATTGTAACAAAGGACTTTATACCATGCCTGAGTTCCCCTTCATGTTTCTGGGATCAGAGAAGCTACAGTTTACTAGTAATTTCTTTAGTGAAGAAGTTCATTTTTGACTTTGTATAGAATAGCCAGATTGGTTGCAACTGAAATCAAAGAAAGATTGGTACTAAAGTCAAGTGGAAATACCTAGGCAATTCTAAAGATCTTTTGGAAAATTCCTAAACTTAAAATCAGAAAATGTACATGTAACAATCAGGAAAACACCAAATTCTTGCTTTAACCAATTATTTAAAAACTAGCTAGTTATGGTAACAGCCTTACTAAAAGTAATATGAAGAGTGATGCAACCTAGTTTAAAGTAAATAATTGTTTCTTGATATTTGTATGGCTACAAACAAATTAAACTTAATCAAAAAAGTATCTAGATTGTGTGACTCTTTTTTCTAACTCATACTACTTGCCTCAATTGTACTGTTCTGTATAGTAATCCTATAGAATACAAAATTCATATATGTGGCAAAATTCATATCCTTTTGTAATGGACATATTTTCAAAACATGGTTTTATATATGGCTAATTGAATAAATAAACAATATAATAAATGAAAATATTTCCAGGTGCATCACTGGTAATTAGGAAACAACAGATAAAATGCAAGCTCCTTTATTTTTTCATAATTAACTAGTTTAACAAAATAATTCAATAGCTTGTACAACAATCACCTTTCATAGAAATACAAAAAGAAGATATCATTCAGTATTTTTATTATACTGTTCAGAAGGTCTTCACTATTTAAAGTTATGCTATGCAAACAAACTAATGTATGCTAAAAGAAACTGCTGGCTGGTTACATAGCAACAATCAGTTCATAGTTTAATGGGTCCTCTGTACAGAAATAAAGATTTTGTTCAAGTAACAGAGGTCATTTTAAGAAGCCATATTTTTAATGTTCGTTTTCAATGTTTTTGTGAATAAGTAGTAAATAAAACTTTTAAGAGAGTATACAGATATGATTCTCATAAATACTTGGTTTGCTGTAATTAGGGACAGAATAACCTATCGGCTCTTGGTAGGAGTCTGAATCTCCTACAAAAAGAGGAAGTATCCATTGTAAGAACAGCTCAGATGCTGACCTTGATCCCATCACATTGGAACATAACATTGTCAACATAAAAACATTCCTCATTGTTACACTAAAAACTCTATGTGAAAGTTTTGTAACAGGAGCATTTGAAGAGGTAGCCAAAATGACACTTCAGAGCCATTTCTTCCTTTTTTTATTTTTCTGTTGCATTTTTCAGAAATGATCTATTTGTATGCAAAGAGTATGCAGGATCATACAAAGATGATGAATAGGAATAGGGTATCCGAGTTTTATGGTTTTGTGTCAGAACAAGAATATCCAAAGCTGCCTGAAACTTCATGATAATCAGGAAAATAAATGTAACATTTGAAATGTTGAATCATTTAGTGCAGGCATGTCAAACTGCCAGCCTGCGGGCCGGATGCGTCACACCGAAACCGCACTCACCCCATTGCTGGCAATGGGGGAAAAGTCATGATACGTCGCATGACATCATATGACGTTGCGAGTTTGACATGCCTGATTTAGTGTGACTGCTGGTTAAAACATCCTATATGGTGACCAATGACCATTCAAAGAAGCAAATTCAACTCTATACAGATTATATTAGCACTGGACAACCATTTGTTTGAAATGGTATAGGGTTTCCTGCTTGAACAGGGGGTTGGACTAGAAGACCTCCAAGGTCCTTCCAATTCTGTTATTCTGTTATTCTGCATATATCAGATATTATATTTGATATATGTATATATATATATATTTAAAAAACTTGAATTATATGCCACATGTACACATAGAAACCACATGCCACATGCATGCATAGAAACATATGATTTTTTTTTATCCACCTATCAAGTCTTTCCCAAGAACCTGGAATAGGCAGATATTGTTTGATGCTGTTAAAGATATCATCCCAGGGTGTAAGCTATTCCATGTAAAGCTAATTTAATATTATTATTGGATCAGTTGTACCAACCCACAACTTATAAAAATCATTCACAACCCTTTATAAGATCATCACTCTTCACTTGGCATACAAATGTGTTACACAGTAATTAGCAATATGATTGCACTGACAGTATTAATAATATAGTGTTGCATTTCCAATTATTATGCATTTCTTTCGCTTCCATTATTAATCTTCTATTTTTTTATGGAGAATTTACTGTTAAATTGGTGTAAAAACACTTGCCAAATCTTACAGCTATGCTCATTTGTCTAGTGCTTTTTATTCCTATTAATAAATGATTACAAGTGAAAGAAAACGCATTTAGGCATCCTATCCTATCCTATCCTATCCTATCCTAAAAATACAGTCCTAACCTATGCATGAATATTTAGAGGTAATATTATATCTTTCCGTGGAATATATTATGTGGTTATGGAAAAATATTGAATTTAGCACTGAGCGTGCAGTTTGATTACACTTTTTCATACATGCAATAAAATAAGCACAAAGCAACAATAAGTCTTGCATTCTCTGTTCTGTATTTCTCATTTTCTTCTACTGATATGGGAATGGTGATTTTCTACGAAAAATCTGAGATACTTGTATAAGCATGTAGAAGGCAAACTGGAAAACAACCACAATATAGAACAGGCAATTGGAATAAAAAAGAATATGATGCCCTGGCACTAGGAATGTACTAATTGATTTGTTAATATGTTTTGTAGCTCAGGAAGCCCCATATCTCCTTCGGAATGTCACTGATCAGGTGGTCAACACCAGCTACTCTCTTAACCTGCAGTGTTCTGTGCATGGTGTGCCAGAGCCCCAGGTATCATGGTATAAAAACAACAAACAGATACATCAAGAATCAGGTGAGTGCAGCACTCATTGATTTTTGTTTCTACATAAGATTCCTTGCATTTTTTTTTGCCTCACATGAAATAATATAACCAACGTCTCCTGCAATATTGAGCTACAGATTACAAGTGGAACTGCTTCTAAATCAATTCAGAAACCTCTTCTTCATTAGCCTATCTTTGACTCAAGGTTTAGCTTAGTCTTTATTTCAGATTCTAGTTTTCATGGATGTGTGTATGTGAGAGAGGGAAAGGGAGGAGGAGATGGAGGGAGATAATATGCGAACATACTACATATTTCAAGTATTTACTAACTTGAACCCATCTTAAATTTTACCCTTGTGCTAGAATATTCACATTGCTTTGCTCCAATATAATGTAAAGTTCTTAGGACATAGCCCAAGAAAGAAAAGAGTGCCAAAACCTCTGTCAATTCAATCATGTTTGTTAAACATGTTTTTGCATAAAAACACACCTATAGAAGAAGAAAAAATCAATCATAAACTGTAAGTTTTTTATTCACAGGAAGGTCATAGACAAATGCTTGGAATCCACCTCCAAATAATTTTGTTGGCTAAAGTCTGTCCC